TGCTGGAATGGCCTTTGGTGCCCTGTGACCTCCGGCAGCCCGTAGTCTGCCACCTTGGTGCCCTGTGACCTCCGGCAGCCCGTAGTCTGCCACCTTGGTGCCCTGTGACCTCCGGCAGCCCGTAGTCTTCCTCGTGACCTCGCTCATGCTCTCTCTGTTCCTCGTGATTGGTATAAGGATTTTGTGATTTTGCCATAATGCTCACTTTTTCTATGCTGCCATTGCTGTTCCTCGTGATTGTTGTATGGTTTTCATGATGACACTGTAATACTCACTTCTTATGCTACCTTGGCTGTTCCTCGTCATTGGTATACGGTTTTTGTGACGATGCTATAAAGCTCGCTTCTCTTACGCCGCCTTTGTGCTACAGAGCCTAACGGCGGCCGCACCCCAGAGGCAGAGGCCCCGCGGGACACCCTGAGGGAGCCACTGCCCCCCAAACAGCCCATACTGCCCCCCAAGTGGCTGGTGAGCTCCACCCCGGATCCCGGCAGCGATGGCCTGCCACGGCCCCCAACCAGTAGCGGCCCCTCAGCCCCAGGACCTGTTTACTCCTCGTCCTCCTCCTCGTCCGCCACCTCCTCCGCTGTGGGCACTGCTGTGAAGCCCGTGCGCACCATGGGCACTCACGGACCCGGCTCAGTGGCTCCGCCCCCCTCCTCCGCTGCCGGTACCGCCCTCCAGCTTGTCAAACAACCGCCCATCCCGCCCCCCAAGCCCATCAATCGGAACAGCAACCCCACTCTGCTAGGTGAGTGAACGCTCGCCCCCTGCTGGCACACTGATGTTTAAATCACTGGACCCTTCCCCACTGGCCCTCGTAACCACTGGGATTGTTGGCGCAACTTGCTATGCATCTTACTGTCAAGCACACCTCAGAACTTCAGGCCATCGTGTTTGAGCGCCAGGGACATAGTGTTTGTAAGTATAAAGTCCTCCAGGGACAGCAGGGTGTCTTGCCCTTCCTCTGGAAGTTTCTCTTGACGACACTGATGACATGTTTGCTCAGAAAACAGCCACAGTGCTGAGGTAACTACCCCCCCCACCCCCCCGCGTGCCAGCTTTTTGTGTGAAGCTGCAGATGACCTGTTTCTTTTTTTTTTTTTTTTCCTTCAGCCTTATTTTAGTCGCTCTGCCTTTTCGATCTGTCAGAGCCATTTTTTGATACAATTATTTCTGCATTTAGCATTTAATAACGGAGTCAAATTCTCGAGCCTGTGGCTGTGGCTCCAAATTCAGTTTGCGTGTGACAGAATGACATGGGGGGCACAGTTTGGTTCCTTATTAATACATGTATCTCAGCGTGAGAGGCTGTAATTAGTCACTTTCCAAAACCGTTAAATCGATCAGAGAGACCCTGGCAGATAGTGGTGTACCCATGTGGAAATTCTGACCCATATTAATATATCTTTATCCCTGATACTGATATCTGGCTAACCTCTGAAAGATCGATCTGCAGGCCGGAATAACTAATCAATTATAAACGTGCAACGGAATGGTACTTTGACACCTCTTCTAAGTAGTGAATGAGCCGACACAGTCCCTCGTCCTCCACTACAGAAAATGGCTGATTGTCCAATGCAATCATCTCCATTATTTCAGTAGTTGTGTCTTTAGCTCTGGTGCTGATATCTTTGAATATTGATGACCTTTAAATATTGGGCAGCGATATCAGCCAGAATCGACAAATCAGATGAAAGTCGCGAGTGTCACCCGATACCGATACCGATACCGATATGTTAACACACATCCCAGGGAATCTGCAATCCCAGGCCCCGTGTGACTTTTCCAGGAGCCCTGAGTCTGAGTCCTTCCAAATAGGGATGGGATTCGTTAAGAAATGATGGCACCGACATCTTGTCGATCCGGTTCTTTATCAATTCCCTTATCAATTCCTAATCACTGTAAAATAATCAAATATTAATTTATTACTGATAGGCTTGGGCGGTATCCAAATTTTGATACCGTCAAACCTCCTCCCTGTTTTACCTCGGTATACGGTATTACCGTGAATAATAAAAAAATTGTGAGGTAAGGCTCAGACAGCGTCACCAAACTGTTGGCTTGTGCCTAAACCGTTCAGAGACTGAATACCAAACACTAATACTGAAACAATAACAAAATAATATGCAGAACAATATTAACAACTTTTATTAGCAACAAATAGCAGTTTATAAAAAAGTGCAAATACAACAGTCAAACAGAATTAAATTAACATAAACATCCAGAACAGACGCGCGCACAAGTCAAATTAAATCACACAACCTGAACAACTTTTAATAACAAAGAGCAGCTTATAAAAAAGTGCAAATAGACCCACAACAGTCAACCAGAGTTGAATTAACATAAACATATCCATATTATAAAAAGTATTGCAAAGCAATAGTCCTAAACAAAAGCTTCTTTCCAGTCTTATTTGTTTTTAATGTAAACCAAATAAAAATACCTGAATCAATTAAATAAATCCGTATTTACCGCCTCTCCCTTCTCGTTCGGTTGAAACCCGAAATACTGCCAAACTGCAGAAGTTGTGTTCTTTTTCGAGACCAGGTCACTTGGTGCGTGACTCGCCATCTTTCCCCACCTCTCTATTTCTCCTCCACGCTGTCACGTGATGACAAACCACGCAAACGCATTTTTAGACATTAAATAAATTGTATTTAATATTTAATCCATGTCTCCTATATAAGTGCATTGTTTTTATAACGGTATTGAAACTGATACCGTTGCTATTTTTAGATCCCGCGGTATACCGTATTACCGTAGTACCGCCCAAGCCTAATCACTGATTATAATTTTGTGGACAGGTAATTAGACCTGGTTACCTACATATTTATTTTTTAAAAAACAGTCCTATGTAATTTTCAGCACCAAAAGCAGCTGTTTTATTAGCTGTAGTGTGATATGAACAATAAATTAAAAATATTTGTTATAATACTGTAGTAACAAGCACACAGGCACATTACCACAAAACCAGGCCATCTTCTTAACACCTGAACATGTTGACCTTACTAATGCTCCTAAAGTGGACGACAGCCTACTTTAACGTTACACATCTGCTTTACAATGTACTGACATACAAAGCTAATGAAAGCATTTCACTGCCAGTACCTACCGAGAAGCTTTTTGCTCTGCTGTCGTGAAAGGATGCAAACCTTTCACCACGAACTTTGTCACAGCCCGGAACGTGGCACTCGTTCACCCTCTCCTCATGACGTTTCGCTGCCTGGAAAGCTAGCGTGAACGCTTTCCGTTTTTCCGGGCATGACGCGATTGCTGCCTCAGAGGAGTTACCCTGCATGTCATCTTCTAAAATGGATGAAACAAACGTGCTACATAATTCATTTATGTTTCAGAAAACGTGTCTGTAGGTTAAGGCACCGTAGTTAGTTAACCATGACTACGGAGACCACAGAGCTTGCACGCGGCGGAGTGGCGAACACATGGCAATCTTTAAATGTAATGCCGTGTTGACAGCTTAAATGCTTAAGCATATTATTAGTGTTACCACCCTTAGAGGTGACAACAGCTCTGCATTAGCCTTGGCTGCACACTGCACAATGCTCGTCCTTCTTGGTAAAATGCAGCCAAGCCCTGTAACGCTTCCTATGCTCCATCATGTGCGGCATGTGACGCCATTTCGCACGACACGAAAATTCCGAATGAATCGTTAGAGGAATCGGATGTGTATGATTCCGGTTCTCCACGACAAATTGGAACCGGTTCTCGATTCCCATCCCTACTTCCAAAAGAGTTTGTTGAACGTAATGTGACGCTCCCTCTAAAAAAAACCAAGGCTGCGCCCACTTTGTGACAGTCTGCGGCCTTGGTGCCCGCCCTCCCCCCCCCCCCCCCCCTCTCTCTCTCTCTCTCTCTCTCGTGCACATGCAAGCGGGGGCATGTTGCAGGATGGAGCTTCCTCCCATCCCTGTCCTCCGGGGGCAGTGCTGGCCCAGGCGGCCCACCCTGACGGCCTGTTGTTCACATCAGTGTTGTTTTTTTTTTAGGTTATTGCATTTTTTCATCCTGCCTAATTACATGGTGGTAAACTATGTTTAGCTTTTATATTCACATTACTGTTATTTGTGAGGTGTAAAATGTCAGTGTCAGGTGCCTCATCAGAAGCTGGTAGCTCTCTCCCACCCTGAGGCAGGTCAGGGATCACGCACGTACATAGCTTCCTGCCCTTTCATTCTTTCAGCAGTTCCCAGCAGTCTTTGCGCGTGGATGTCAGTGCTTCCTTGGGCTAGTCAGATGCCTCACTGCGCCCCCTCCTGGACGAACATGGACCAACCATATTGTACAGCCCAGAGTAAAATACAAAAGAAAAAATAAAGCTTGCTTAATTTTTAAGAAGGTAAAGTAGGTGTCTAAAACTTTGTGTGTTAATAAGGCAATGCATTATTTGTGCAATACAGAGGTAAGGTGGTAACGTGACATCTGGCACACAGGATTTACAAGGATGTAGTATGCTCACCGCTTTCGCTTTGAGGAGAATTTCTGGACCTAAATAAACCTGAAGCAGCTGTGTAAATTGGTGGGTAATGGGCGCTCTTTGCTATTGCAGGGTGATTTAAAAAGCAGGTGCGATGCTTTTTGAGACCCTTCTGCCCCTGCTGGTTCATCTTTTGCTTTACATGTGGAGGTTTTGTACACATTACGCTGCTGCACCCATAAGCCACCCAAGAGGGTGACTGCACGGTGCCGGGGGGCCGCTCCGTAAGCTCACTGCGGCCTTTCCCACAAGTAGTAAACTGTCACAGATGAGCAACTGCACTCCAGTGTGAAATCATGTTGAATTGAAGATGGGACCAATTCAATATGGCTGCCGGTCCTCGTTTTGCGTGGAGGCTTAGCTCTTGTTTCTCAGCGGAAGACAGACAGTCTACGCTCATCTCTGCCACCTTCCGCACTGCACACAGGGGATAACACGCACTTCCCCCTGTACTGGTCTTGCTGGAAGCGGGAGGGCGAGTACGACGTCTACCTGTCCCTGCCCGTCTACCTGTGCCGACGGGCCGGAGCCCCCCGCTCAGGTAAAGCTGAGCTCCCCCTCAAACTGGCACCGGCCACCTTCGGGGGGGGGGGGGCTCTGCTCCATGTTGTCATCGCATGCCTCATTCCACCTTGAGAAATTGGACTAACCCTTAACCTCCGGCAGCCCTTGAACTCCGAATGGAACGGAGGGAGCTGAGAAAACGCGCCCGATTAAATGCTGCATGCCGAGCCGCCAGTGCCTTTGGATCATGGCATGCTAACCACATGGCATGCTAACCACATGGCATGCTAACCGCGCGGCATGCTAACCACATGGCATGCCTGCAACTCGCCCCATTGGTGATGTTGATGCAGCATTTTACTAGCGTTTGATAGGGTTTCCTATGGCAGTCAGGGAGCTGGCTCTGCTGTCTCCTGATCTATGATTGGGGTTATGATTCGTGGGGGAGGGGGAGTCCATGTTTAGCTGATTGCTCTGACATGAAAGTACTGATTATGCTGAAATACCTAAGTGGGTCCATCGGTCCTGACTGGGCCCATCAAAGCCAAGCGTGCTGCTGCCCGCCGTCATGCCATCTCCCGCTTGCACTTCCCTGCATTCAAGGAACCCGCTTAACGTGTCTTTGCTTGTAACTGTGCTTCTGCTAAGCAGTGGCTGCCTAGAAGAGTGGCCTTTCCGAGCCGATCATGTTCCTGAAGCTGGTGGTCTGGCCGACCCTTTGGGAGATCCCCCGCCTCTTGCTGGCTTGCTTGTCTGGTCATGCTGGTCTGTGTTGCTCAGAGGTTGCGCCCTTGCTGGTCGCATTTCACCCTTTTCACCCTTGATGTTGTTCTGTGAAGTTCCAGCAGGTGGCGTCACTTGTTTTTTTCTTTACTCTCGTCTCCTCCCACAGCTGAGCTCTCCCATGCCACCGGTGCAATTGCTCTGGGCCCGACCAAGCCTTCCCCGCCCATGCCGCCTAAGAGGACCACCCCAGTTACAAAGCGCAATTCAGAGGAGTCGTCTAATGCCCCCATGCCCAGCGTGCTGCCCGAGGAGGACTTCGCCACCTGCCCGCCGGGCTTCCAGCTGCCCCCGCCGCCACCATCCCCACCCCTGCCCACCCACGTTCCTCCATCCCCTCCACGCCTGGCTCACCATCCTCACCCCCACCACCACCTGCTGGCCCACCAGCACTCGTATCCACACCCCCTGCCCCAGCCCATCCCGTATGAGCCCCCCAGCCCCACGTCGGAGCCGAGCCGCCAGGCCGCTGTGCCGCTGCACATCATGATCCAGCGGGCGCTGACCAGCCCCGGGCCGGCCGTGCCCAACCCCGACGGCTCACAGCGCGCCCACTCGCTGCTGTTCGAGACGCCCCCACCGGATTACCAGGGCGAGGGGGCCGGCCGCGGGTACCCCCTGCCTGTCACCATCCAGCCGCTCAAGCTGTGAGTACCCCCCCCCCCCTCGGGTGGCCTCTGACCAGTGCTGCAAAACAGTGGCCTGCATTTTCTGCTTATTAAAAATTCCTGCTTTGGTGTGGGGGTGTGTTTGTGTGTGTGTGTGGGGGTGTTGGTGTGTGCCTGCATTTATTACCGAGTGGGGGCACATTAGTGAATGCTGCGAAGTGGTGCCAGTGTCCCGTCGTATTTAAGTAACAAAAACGACGCGTTTGACGAGTGGGGGGAGGGGGGCATTCGAGCTTCTCAACCATTGAAATGTGCATATTTCCAGCAAGCAAATATACTGAATAAAATCTATGAGCTTTTAAAACACAATTGTGCTGGACTTACATGGCAGATTGTGATGTAACCTGTTCAGACATAGTAACCCTGCTAGTAATTTTTGTGAAATTCAGTGAATAAGCATGTTTATAAGTGCATGTCTGTTTTGTGGATTTCTCTGTATGTTTCCATGCATTAAAATAGGGCTAAATGGGGTTGTTTCTGCACCCTCCTCTCCTGTGACCTATTTTTGTTCTCACTGTTTGAGTTAATGTCATGAAAAATGATCAGCTGAGGTGCTGGTAGATGTCACCTGTGTGTGACTTCAGCAGCACACTGCTCACTTTTTCAGGAAGCCATGTAAAATCTCAATGTTGGACTGTAGGGGGCGCTGTCGTAAATTTGAGATTGTCCTTTTGTCCCTCACTTCTTAACAGTAACGAGGAAGACTACTCTGAAGAGGATGAAGAAGAGGAAGAGGAGGAGGAAGAGGAGGATCTGCCCCCGCCTGAGCACATCCCGCCTCCGCAGCCGGAGCTGGAGCCACGGAGCCGACGTTGCTTGGTGGGGGACCTGAATGTGAGCATCATCCCCGAGATGGAGGGGCCTGCTAGCAGTGAGGAGGATGAGGAGGAGGACGAGGATGAAGAGGAGGACGACGTCGAGGAGGAGGACCCACCTGACGACAGCGACTCGGACGGGCCTGTGCTTTACAAAGACGACGACTCTGAGGATGAGGAGGATGAAAGCCCACCCAGTATGTCCAAGTCATTCCCTACTTGTTATCCTGTTCGGGAGCTGGGGTGGTGTTATAAACTATAGTTAATTCTTTGAATTAAATAAATACAAGCAGTGTTACAGACGCAGGTCCGGAGTAGTACAGGTAGACCTTCGGGAGCCGGGAATGTCTGGAAACTCCTGGGAGGCAGACAGGAGATCCTCGTGAAGCCACCATGAGCTCTGTCATCACGGTGGTACGCTGCCTGTGTCTCTCACCCAGGTGCCCTGGCTAGCCGCGTGAAGAGGAAGGACACCCTGGCTCTGAAGCTCAGCAGCCGGCCCTCAGCTCCAGAACGGCAGGCCAGGGAGGAGCAGGCAACGGTGACGTGGCAGAACCGGGAGCAGTGGGAGGAGATCCGCACGCAGATCGGCACGGCGCTCACCCGGTACGTGGGGCCTGTGCACATGCCTGTCCGTGCGTCATCACGTAGCATGACTGTCAGACACACGCAGAGACATGTCTGTCCTTTTACAGTACTCACACAGGGCCAACGGGCATGCACAGTCTTAGCTCAAGTGCAGATAAGACCTTTAGTCAGTCAGTAAACCCATCTGTGTATGAGTGAAGATCAGAAGGACTTGCCTATTAAGAGGGTAATATTTAGATTTGTGGTGAGGCTAGTCATTGAATGAATGGTCTGTCTGTCTCTTGCCGCCTTTCTGGCTGTGTTTGCCCTCAGTATTTCTCTCTGTTGGTCTGTCTCTCTCAATTGTCTGTTTCCCGCTGTGTTTATTTCTGTAGACCTCTTTTTCTTGATGTCTCTGTCAGTCTGATTTTTCTCCCTGCCTTTCTGGCTGTGTCTGCCCTCTGTCTGTCTCTCTCTCGGGTTTGTGTCTGTCTGTCTGCCCTCTGTCTGTCTGCCCTCTGTCTGTCTCTTTTGGATCTGTGTCTGCCCTCTGTCTGTCTGTCTCTCTATCTCTCTCTCTCTCGGGTTTGTGTCTGCCTCTCAGATCTGTGTCTGCCCTCTGTCTGTCTCTCTCGGGTCTGTCTCTGCCTTTCTGGCTGTGTCTGCCCTCTGTCTCTCTCTGTCTGTCTGTCTGTCTCCCTCTCTCTCTCTCAGGTTTGTGTCTGCCTCTCAGATCTGTGTCTGCCCTCTGTCTGTCTCTCTCTCTCTCAGATCTGTGTCTGCCCTCTGTCTGTCTCTCTCTCTCTCTCAGATCTGTATCTGCCCTCTGTCTGTCTCTCTCGGGTCTGTCTCTGCCTTTCTGGCTGTGTCTGCCCTCTGTCTCTCTCTGTCTGTTTTCCCTCCCCTCTCTGAAGCGTTGTCATACACGTACAGTCTGCCTTGGTAAGTAAAGCAGTGCTGTGAGGATGGCTGAGGTGGACAGAGGATGATGGGCTGTTCATGGCCCCAGAGTCGCGGTGCCTGTGGCTGATGAGTGCTTCCCCTGTCCCCCACAGGCGTCTGAGCCAGAGACCCACCGCGGAGGAGCTGGAGCAGAGGAATATCCTACAGCGTCAGTCCTCCTTTTTCCTGCAGCTTCCATATTCTTCATCCTTTAAATTCTCATTCTCGTTTGCACTCTAATCTTCCTGGGGCCCGACCCCTCTCCCCCTCAGACTCATTTCCTAGCATCTATCCCTTTTTACCAGGCCTCCCTCCTTACCCCGAACCTCTGGTCATTCAGAGAAGGCAGAATTCAGTTACCATTTAAGAGCGTTCGCAAAAGACAATGATAGCTGGATGCTGACATCTGAAAACAAATCTGGCTGTTATGTTTGTACCTGCTTTTTAACATGTAATACTGCAAACCTAGCAATAGAGTCAAGCCACCTAAATAGCGTTATAAGCCCCATGGTGAGCACATTTCCCTCCCGTTTTCAGCCAAGAACGAGGCAGACAGGCAGGCTGAGGTGCGGGAGATCAAACGAAGGCTCACCAGGAAGGTAAGGACATGCGCTCTGTGTGTGGCTCTGTCCACCGCTGCCTTGTTCATTTGCATTGTCCTGATTTTCAGCTCCTGCTGACCTGCTCACTGAGCTGGTTCTCCCAAAATCAACTTTTTGATAAGATGCATAGCAGAGTCGTGGTGAATATTACCAGGGAATACAGGGTATCAAGAGACACAGAAAAGCCAACTTTGAATAGTTTGGCAGCCACATAACGATAATTTCCGAAGGTCTTGTCTGGCTCATTTGCAGAACAAATTTTATATATTTATGAAACTGACCACTCATAAAGGTAAAAGTCATACTTCATTTTCCATAACTGCAGAAATGTGAAAATCAATGTTTTTTTTCCCCAAGTACTAAATCTCACTGCCTGCGAGTTGGATTTGTTTCTCTCACTGTTCTTTAGCTACTGTGTCCCTCACTGGCTGCTTGCTAAAACGTGCTTGTTATGACCATCTGCCCCCCTCCCCCCACCCCCCCCCAGTTAAGTCAAAGACCAACAGTAGCTGAGCTCCAGGCCAGGAAAATCCTAAGGTTCCATGAGTATGTGGAGGTCACCAACGCCCAGGACTACGACCGACGTGCTGACAAGCCGTGGACCAAGCTCACTCCTGCTGACAAGGTAAAGGCTGCCCCTGCAGACACATTTCTAATAAGTTCATAAGTAATGTGCAAAATTATATGAAAATATTATATCATGCTTAAAACACCTATATTACGCCATATCACTTCATATGGTCTGATATTTTATAAAATAGAAGTATGTAGTATTTAGTGTACATCAGTGATGCCACTATCATGGTTTTATATGACTATGAATTTATTTCAGTGAGTTTATTTGATGCACGGCACGTATTGATGGAGTAATGGAGATCATTTCCGGAGTTAATTTGCCTTTTCTTCCCTACCCCCACCTGCACATTCAGGCGGCAATTCGTAAGGAGCTGAATGAATTCAAGAGCTCTGAGATGGAGGTCCATGAAGAGAGCAGGATCTATACGAGGTATGTCCTCTCTGCTCTCTTCCGCTCTCTGCTCTCTTCCGCTCTCTGCTGTCTTCCGCTCTCTGCTCTCTTCCGCTCTCTGCTCTCTTCCGCTCTCTGCTCTCTTCCGCTCTCTGCTCTCTTCCGCTCTCTGCTCTCTTCCGCTCTCTGCAGTCCTGTTCTTATGAATCTGGGAAACCGGCCCTTTAAATTGCACAAATAGATGTCACTATTTTTGTTTCTTCTTTTTCTTTTCTTTTTAATAAAGCAGTCTTAATGTGTTTCTTCTCTTCGCATTTACAGATTTCACCGGCCTTAGACTCCAGCAACTGGAAGACGAAGCACTTAAAGAATGAGAGAGCCTGGCCAGGCCCCTGGGCCTCATGCTCCCAGGATGGACTGCCTTTATCATTCTGAATGTACAGTACTGCTCATCAGGAACACTGCAAGGAGAACCACTCCTCCCATAGCTGCTCACAACCACTGCAGCCACACACAGGATTAAGCGCCTGCGTGCTTGCAGTACTTCTCCGGGGACTTCGGGAGGAGCCATAGTGCCAAGAGGGCAGAGGTGGCAGGAGGGAGAGGTTTAGAGGCTGTCTGTGCTGTTCAGCCCCCCAGGGGCGCTAAGGCCCCTATAGGCCACAAGCCCACCCTCCCCATTCCTCTGGAGAACATTCGGGTGGCCTTTTTCCTTCATTTTTTACGGAACACTTGATTTCTCTTTCCTTCTTCATCAGGAAACATAATAATCATAACAGTAGTTAATATTGAAGGTGAAAATTATTACAATAAGAGCTGCAAGATACTGGCTGAGATGAAGTGAAAACAAAATGACAATGAAGAGAGAGACTCCTGAAGCAAGTGTCTCCGGAAAGAGTGATGGCATTCTGGAAAAATTGTGAATTTGTGTGTGTGTGTATAGATTACTGTAATTTTTCTTAGACTATTAACCTGGAAAGTTATAATGAAGATTTCGGTAATGCACAAGGTTTTTTTGTTGTTTTTTTTTTTTTTTCCTTCTTCCTAATGTACGATCTGTTCTGAAATGAGGACTTTTTTTGTGGTAAGGGAGCCAGGGTGATCCCCCCCCCCCCCCCCAATTTGGGGAGTTGGGCTGAGGTGACCTCAACAGTCCCTTGCCATAGAAGAAAAACTAGTGTTTTTTTTTTAATTAATTTATATTTTTTGCCATGGTTTAATTTCCATTCTTAATATAGCATACAGTCATTGTATATCACCTGTCCAGTGCTGTGACAGCCATAGGTATCCCAACTGGCCAATCATTTTAATGGCATTTTGTGTTTTTAATGGACCTACTACAGATCACTTTTAGCAGTTTAAAAACCAGACTGACAAACCAGATTTAACAACGGGGGGGATAAAACATGGCACCTTAATTTGGAAAAAGTCAGGGTTGTACAGCTCTCTGTAGGAGAGAACCACTACAGTAACGCATCACTGCGATGGCTGACGGGGAAACCCTTTCGGCAGGAACATGTTTGTACTTTTTGTTTTATCCCGTATTGCTTGTGGCCCAGTGGAGACCCAAGTCCTCTGCTGTATAGATTTATCCTGTAGATTAAACTGACTGTCGTGTATATCTTGTCTTCCTATCGTTTAAAATATTTTAAATATAATAAAAGTATTAGGTTGTTGTTGTTTTTAAGCTCAAAATATTCGTGTATGATTGAACAACACTATGAGAAATGGGATATAAACATACCTGTTCTATTTTATGTTACTGTTGTATAGTTTTTTTTTTAAGACACTTCATTGAATTTTAGTAATTGACAGCGATTTCTCTGTTTAGCTAAAAATGGTCACTACCGAATATTAAAAGCTTTAAACAATTATTACTGTTCTGTCCTGTATTTGTGTATGTTGTTGAATGAAGTCTTGGGGGTAAATGGTTACCCACAATTACTGAAAGGTGCACAGAATCCCAGTTTCATATATATGCAGGGGTGCCGTAAAGAGGGGGGGGGGGGGGGGTGGACTTAGGATGATTCCTCAGTGACAGGGGCCCCAAAAAAATTTGAAAATATATGCTTTGGTGGGGCCCAAGTCATTAGCATCGCCCCTGCTTATATGTATGATACAATAGGTATGTGTTTGTCGATTTTCCAGCTACAGAGTAATTATGTTTAGAGAAGCATTGTGGATGATTATTAAAATGTGTTGAAATTAAGACAAGGAATAATGTTTGAGTGGATAACGGAACCAAACACGATCAAATACATTACTTAAGACCAGAATATAATGGTGAGCGACTAAGAATGATGCAACATGTACAATTGAAGTAATCTGTACAAATGATACTTTTGATTTTGGTGATGACATTTATTACTAAATATATTTAACACAATCGCTCTTAGCTTGGTGACCGACCTGCATTCCAGCGGTCGTTAAGCTTAATGGTCAGTAAATGAAAATTACTGTAGCCAAGGCATGACTGCAACTGTGTTTATGACTTGACCTAAGCCTTCTGTACTCAAATTTCTTTTATCCTTTGTGAATCTCCTTCAAATGTCTCTCTCACTCCGGCGTGAGTTGTTGTCAGGCTTACGAAATTTGGTAGTAACTGCGCGCATTATTCGTTACATTTATCTGTACTGCAGGCGTATATGCGAACGGTCGCTGAGCGAGGACGAGTGTGTGTTTTGCTTGAGAAAACACAGAACATGAGAAAAGTCCGCCTGTTTCTTGTTTGTCTTTAGCGACATCTAGTGGCGAAACGCGTTTGTTCGGCTAAAGTACTGACGAACAGCGGCTGTTTATCAAAAGCATTTCTGGCAACTGCAAGCTGTACGGTACTATAATCAGAGCTAAGGTAATCGTTACACTGCTGTGGTTTAGGGAAAGAAATCTAGAGCACCATCCACTCGCGCTTTAATTGTATTTGTTCATTTTAAATAGGAAAGGACCCTGGTGCATAAATGTTCTAGCAAAGAAAAAAAAAACACCCTAGACTTCCACAACCAAAAGAATGAAAGATATCTCTATGCATTTTGCTATAGAGGCATCTTTCTGAAACGGAATGTTTCTCAGCCGTGGTCAGGGGCGCCGTAAGGAGAGTGGGTGGGGTTGGTTAGTACGATTCCAACGTCCCCCGACTATCAGGAGCCCTAAAAAATGTGAAATAATTGGATTGATCTGGGTTGGAGGCCAATACGGTTTGCTGTTATGGAATCCAAAATCTGTAGCCGTGCCCCTGGTTGTGATTTTGGCGAATTTGTATATGCCGTCTTTCCCTTCTTCCCCAATATGTTTGTCTTGAATATATCCTTTAAAATATCTCCTGATATTATACGGAATCAGCGAATAAATCTCCCAGAGCAGAAAATGTATTTCAGAAGTAAAATACTTACGCTTAGTTTTTTTCAGATGTTCGTTAATGGCGCTATCAATATAAATATCGGATTTAATTACGACCCATAAAGTCTTTGATTTATAGATATATTTTGAATTCATTGCGATTGTATAGCGAAATATTTCCTGAGACGTCAAGTCTCGCTTTAAAAAGGGAACTCTCCTTCAGGTGTTGCATTAACAGAAATTCCGTAACATTAGTAACTATTACAAATTCCCAGATTAAATAACAAAGAGATTATCAAATCTCATAATATCCCTGCATTTGTATATCGGTGTGTATATTATCTACGAATTTGCGAACGATGAATTAATGTGCTAATTCTGTATCAAGTTTTCTTTAATTTCGATCTGATAAAGATATGGGGCTTCATAACATATTATGGGCTGTCGGCCGACCGGTCCAGGGCGTACTGTCTCTTTAAAGCACAGGCCACATGGACGGAATGAGTAGGGAAGGTGATCGAGGGTTTCTAACACACAATAAGAGAAGCGACGGATCTGGTAAGTTTGCAATGAATGGGGTCGTTAACTTTGCCGCTCTAATCCATATAACAGCTATTTTTGTGCTTTAGCTATATGCAGCGTCTAAGGGGAAGGACGTGTCCACCAGTTAGATATTAAATGTTAAAATTGTTGCTGATTAGCTAGCAAATTAGCTGAAGCTGTTTTATGCAACAGCGCTGTCATTTTCATTTACCGACCCTTGCATAAGTGCATCGGTTTGGTTATTGTTTTCAGTGTACGTGGTGATCCGTGGCTAATTTAACAGTGATTTTTTTTTTCCGTTGTTTTTTAAGAAGACAGTTAATGCCTCCTAGCAGCTACCGTCTGTCGCTTATATGGTCAATTGAATTTTTACTAACTTTAAGAATTTGTAAATTGTAGCCAAACTATCTATAAGGACTTATCAAGTGGATGAGAGCCAGGCGCCCCGTAGCCAAATTCCGGACATCGCCTGTATAAATGGGGCCTTTTAAAAAATTAGCGGGAGTCATCATTTAGCACTTTGAACCAGGAAACAGATCGGCCCACCCGTCTCTACCACCGTGCTGGGGGGGGGACACACCGGAGAAATGTGTAGTTCAAAACGCCGCGTGATGCCGTGTGACAGCAGCTGCTGCTCTAGGGCAAGAGCCATACTCCGTCTTGTCCTACTTTCTGCATCGGCCCCTATCAATCATATCTCCTTATGCTATTTTCAATCGGTTCTCGAAGAAGGAACTGATTGTGCGTTTGCAGCAGCTGTTACGTGACCAGAAGCACGTAAAGCACTGGAAAGTTAGTCAGAGAGGGGGAACACCACCAGGGCAATACACCCAAAGTAAGTTAGTCTTTTTAAAGTCCTTTTTAATCCGGATGCGCCAACCAAGAGTTCATTTTGCGTGTTTGCCGCTTTGAAAGGCGTGTCTCTCCTGTTGTGACGCACATTTCCCGCGACCGTCTTGAGCCCCGACGCGCGTGGACGGCGCCTTTGCAGTTCTTTGCACGTTGGACCGGCTGCGTCTCCTAAAACGACCTTTCTCTTTTTAAAGACACGTACGAGGTCCTTTGTTTTAATTAGTGTATTTTGTTTAAAGTTACACTGAGACTACTCCTTAGCCTGTTTGCTTCTCTATCGAAGTATGATTCAAGTTATGCTTTTCACAGTTACGTGCTGATATCCTCTAACTGAAATGAATTATTTTTGCCTATGTTCTGGAGGAAAAACAAAAGCTACAAATTCCGTGTTGACATGGCTGAGTTGCTTTGGCTTGTTAAACGTTACAGTTTCGCCGTTGAGTGAATTGTGAGAGTTGCACACTTGTGGGCTACCAGTGTGCCTCACTTTTCACGCTGATGTGTTAGATGAGATCTAGAAGTTTTTGAACAGCTATAGTGCTGATAAAGAAAGCAGTATGTCTGAATATCTGTCCCTCTGCTTTTCTGTCTAGCGTTTACCGCCGACATGCCTGCGAAGAAGGCAGTGAAAAGGGTGGGCCATGTGGATGACGCCAAGGGTCCTAAAAAAGTGAAAGGTACACCGGCCATTCCTGATACCCGTGAGAAACCGATTTCTTTGCATACGGCGTAAGACGAAGGTTTTATAAACATTTAACTATGCTGGAAGTATTCGTGTGTTTGACCACATGGAAGAATGCTGTATATGGTTTGTGTCGTGGTAATATTTTTGCTTGATGTAGTCCGATAAAGTAATGGTCATGTAAAGAGCACTGCTATGACTGTTTGCCTATTATTATGACCTATGATTCTGCACTCGATTACCAACTCCAACGTAAACTGTTCTGGCAGACCTGCCTTGTTTCATCCCCTAACGTGTTTCCAACAAGTCCTCTCTTCCTGCCCAGTTTCCCACAGCAGCTATGGGACAGAGAACGGTTTGGTGCTGGTGCTCGGACAGGGTGACGTGGGCCAGCTGGGCCTGGGTGAGGACGTGATGGAGCGGAAGAAGCCGGCGTTGGTGCCCCTCCCGGAGCCAGTCGTACAGGCCGTGGCAGGGGGCATGCACACCGTCTGCCTCAGTGACACGGGCAGTGTGAGTAGCTCGCACTTATTCGCCTTGGCCTCGGTCCTGGTGCTTGAAGTGCTCTCACCTTGAATGGTTGCTCATGAACAGTTACTGCCCTGTAATTTAAGTAGTAAATCTTTGTGGCACTTCGGTACAGGGATTGATTGCAGCACTGGCCTATAAACAAAACTGCATGTACACAAATAATACCTTAAGTTGCTCAAAAATGTTGGTTCCCCCTGAAGATCACTGCAAATACTTTGCAGCAGCTTGCTTACACAATGCAGTATATTCCACTGAACGTTCATAAGTAATTTTTGGAAAATCTATTTTGAAGTTTTTGCTCACATAGATCTGATTAGTTTGGACAGCAGTTCTCAATAATGATGTATATGTACAATATATAGCATATTGTTGTGTATCATAACATTTGAACTAATAACTACTAAACAGCCAGCAAGTTTCTTGAGGGGAAGAGTCAGTGTTAGACATGTCTGAATATGAGTGCGTGTCTTCGAGTTTTTAGTCCAGTCTGTTCATTGTCATCTTTCATTTTAAAAGGTGATGTGTATTTTACTGTGTTCATAGTCTTTCATGCAGAACAAGGGAATTATTGTAACTAATTTTTTCCTGTTGGTTCAGGAGCCCTACACTGTGTACTGGTTCATAACCTCTGTGCTCTGTGTATTTACCTGAATTAGGTTAATTAGTTCTATTTCTGAGGTACAGAACTAGCAGTTTTACTGCTGGTCCTGGGTTAAGAGACTCCGACCAGTGGCCTGTACTACGAAGCAGGGTTACTGGCTTATCGGGGTAACTTGTCGGATTTAAGGTAGTCTGGGCAAAATGTAAGTGAACGAATATGAAATCCATTTAAAATGTGGCACCTTAAATATCCAACAAGTTACCCTGATAAGCCAGTAACCCCGCTTCGTAGTTCTGGCCCCTGGATGTATAAGCGAATGAGCTGCTCCCCCCCCCTCCCAGATTTACACGTTTGGCTGCAATGACGAGGGGGCCCTGGGTCGGGACACCTCAGAAGAAGGCTCAGAAATGAGTCCCGGGAAGGTGGAGCTGAAGGAGAAGGTGGTGCAGGTGTCGGCCGGCGACAGTCACACGGCGGCGCTCACCGAGGAGGGGGAGGTCTACATCTGGGGCTCCTTCAGGGTAAGCGGGCCACGTTTATGGTGCGTTCCATTTGCCCTGGGAACTTGGATTCCGAGTTTCGAAGCCGGAAGTGACGACATGCGCGCTCCCGTTTCTCGGAGATCCGAGAAATATCTCGGATAACGCAGAGGATCCCGAGTTCAGAATCGAAGATGGCTGCGCCCTTTATCAACAGAAGGGAAAGTTGTTGTTTTATCCTGTTTAAGCACTACTTCTCATTTCTGGCTCATTAAATCGGTCGCACACACTATACCGTCCAACTTATCTGTGGACGTGTTGCTACGGAGTTTTATACGTGAAGCACCGCGCGTAATGTGTTATCAAGTGGTATTGCTAACAATGGCTACCAATTAACCGGTCTAGAATTGGATTTCATGATTAGTCGGATTATTTGTCGGATTTAAGGTAGTTCGGGCTAATTGTAAGTAAACGAAGGTAAAGGCCATTTAAACTGAGGTACCTTAAATCCGACAAGTTGTCCGGCTAAGCAAAAAATCTTGCTTTTTCATATGGGTCCATGGTATTGCTACTTCTGTGGCAAATGGAACAGATCCGACTCGGTTTTCCCGAGTTTTTAGCGGATGTGACGTAATATCGGATCCCGAGGCAAATGGAATGCAGCATTAGGCCCAGGGACGTGTCGGGCATAATGCTGATGGCCTGTAGTGTCGGGCAGTGGTACCGTGTGCTGCCTTGTCCACCATCTGTAGCATTTCAGCTTTTTGCTTTCCTTTTTAAATGCATAGTAAATGTAAAGCCCAGAATATACTGTCTATTTTGTCCTGCCCCAGCATCTCTATGTTTAATGATATTCCACCTTTATGCTTCATATTGATTTTTAGGACAACAATGGAGTAATTGGTCTACTGGAACCCATGAAAAAATGCACTTTACCAGTCAAGGTTCCCATTGAAGAACGTGTGGTTAAAATTGCTTCGGGTAAGACCTCGCCCCTAGGGACACTTGTCAGGCAGATCTCATTGGCAGTGCTGGCACCAAAGCATCAGGCACTGACTGGAGATCAGTTTTCTGAATGACACCAGATGGAAACTTTGAGACTGACCCTTGCTGCTGTTGTTTGTCCAAGGAAATGACCATCTGATGATGCTGACGATGGAGGGAGACCTGTACAGCTCAGGCTGTGGGGAGCAAGGGCAGCTGGGGCGGGTCCCAGAGCGCTTTGCCAACAGAGGGGGCCGGAAAGGCCTGGGTAAGACACTGTGCCTCGACAGCAGCCTCCTGTGGCCATGCTGTGCACTGCGGCCCTACCTTATACACCCAGTAGCTTGGTGATGAGGGACTTGGGGTCTTGTGTTGGTACTAGAGGTGGGCGATGTGACCTCAAATTATTATCACGGTATTTTTCGCTTTTTGGACGGTGACGGTATTATATCGCTGTTACTTTTTTGCTAGTTTTGGGAGGAGTAGTATGTCCCTTTATGTAAAAAAAAAAAAAAAAAAAGATATATATTTTATAATATATTAAAAACACTTTTAGATGGGTCTGGGTGGTTTTTTCCCACAAAGACATAAAATGTCATAGATAATGTTTCCTCATTTGTTTTAAAATTGTCCGAGCAACAAGCTGCTTCAGCCAAAAACAGTGTATTTTACAGTCCAAATAAAACGCAGTTACTACTTTGGCTCTAATGAGAATTTCAATTCGAGAAGTCTGCAAACGCATGCAAAGGCATTTACATGTTTTTAACCATTTTATTACCTTCTAAATAGTCTGTAGGGTTTGCAAACTACCCCAACGCTTTTGATGTCGCTTATTTTAGGTATGTAATGTAATCATATATATTTGCTGTAACATTTCTGAGTGTCTCACCAGATGCATGTGAATTGGCAACCCTGAAAACATGAGCTGATTGTATAAAAATAACATTACGTTATACAGATGTTAAGGTAATCTTTGACGTGCGGGAAATCACCAATTATCTAAAATCCATTTATCCAGCATTTTATAAAATGCTGCGTTTGAAAACTTCTCAGCTGTAGGATTTCAGGACTGAGCAGCCGCTCTGTTAGGAACATTATGACTTTTTGTTAGATTCGCTGCTGTTATTAACACTAATGACACATTATCGCAAAGAAATGGGCTGCACACGCCGACTTGAGTCCTGCCTGAAGTTAGAGTTTGACATTCATTGGTGTGGAAAACGGGCGGTTCTAGTGTGAACTGGGTAACTGTGCCTTGTACTACGCGCCTTGTATGAAGGAAGCGGGGTGTATATATGCTGGTTTGGCAAATAAGTTTTAATGTGCTTTTTGTGTGTGTGTGAGAGAGATAGATAGATAGATAGATAGATTTATCTATATATAGATAGATATATCTTACACACACACACTAAACAAAATAACCTGGTTACCTATATATGTGTGTGTGTGTGTGTGTGTGTGTATGTATATATATATATATGTGTGTGTGTGTGTGTGTGTATATAGCAGCAAATTAAAATAACATTCGCTAAGCCAGCACATATATACCCCGCTTATGTGTGTGTATATATATAATCAGTTTATTTTGAATTTAATTTGCTATTGCAACACTTCGCCTCTTCGTTTAATAGAAAATTGACACAACACAGATAAAGCGGTTACATATACTATTTAACGATGAGTATTTACATTACATATTGAAGCTTTGAAGGAAATAAAGTGCTTTATTTTTATAAATATGCTGTTTTATAATTGACATGCTGAATTCTCGCGGTGTTAATGGTATAGTGTAAATCCATATTGTGGCAGACAGTCACACCAGTGATGACTATGACACTGGTGTACCACCCACCCCTAGTTGGTACCATGAGAAAACAACATGCGTAAGCTGCTAATTTTACCTAATGAACACTGCTGGGTATAGCCAAAGATTTCATTGAACCCTTTATTGTTAATTTTCTAAAATATGTAATTCTGCAGCTGTCATTGTTGGCTAAAGTTCTTTATGAACAGCATTACCTTGGTGCTGAATTTTGCTGCTCTGTCGTGTGTTTTTGAGCACTGCGTCTGCACTGCGTCTGCACTGCGTCTGCACTGCGTCTGCACTGCGTCTGCACTGCGTCTGCACTGCGTCTGCTGGACCCTGGCGCTTCTGAAACGCTGCTGCTTCTCTCCTTGTCTGACTTCAGAGCGACTACTGGTGCCACAGACCATCCCGGTTCGGTCGAGAGGAAAGGTCCGTTTCTCCGACGTCTTCTGCGGTGCCTATTTCACGTTCGCTGTGTCCAAAGAGGGTCACGTCTACGGCTTTGGCCTCTCCAACTACCACCAGCTAGGTGAGCTTGATTATTTTCATTTGTTTACTGACCAGCCATCATTTACACCAGGGGTGGCCAATCTTATCCGCAAAGGGCCGGTGTGTATGCGGGTTTTCGCTGTAACTCCCTCATTAGATTACTAATTAGAGGACTGATTGGCTGAAGAGTCCTCACACCTGGGTTTGAACAGCTGACCTACAGGTTATCCCTAAAACCTGCACACACACTGTCTCTGTGCAGATAAGATTGGTCACCGCTGATTTACACTGTTATTTAAATGGTAAGCAGCACTAGCATACGGTGGTAAAATCCACTTTGTACAGGCCTGACGGCATGAAGCTTTATAGGTGACTTCTGAGTATCTAGCTGTCCTCAGCCTGCTTTCATTGACGTAAACTTTGGGGGGGGGGGGTAGTGGGTGAAATATTGTTGGCTGATTTAATCATTTAATAGCTTAGTATTGTGTTGGTTGTTTGTTCAGTGACCCATTTCCTGCTTCCCTGGATTCATTACTGTTAATCTTTGTGTTCTGTAGGTTTGATTAAAGCTGACACCCTGCCAGAGAACTTTATTTGTATGGCAGACAACAGCATTTGAAACTTTTTCCTTTGAGCAAATATTTGTAGATGAGCTGATTTAATAGCAGCTGTTAGATAAGCATTGGTATTTGTGTATTGTAATGTGCTCTAAGGCTGGATGTTTATGACTGAGTATTGGCCAGTACCCTATTATTGTTCTCTGTGAGGCCCTCAGGGTAACTTCAGTGCTCTGACCTTATTGTTCTCCCTGTAGGGACCCCAGGCACCACCACCTGCTTTGCCCCCATTAAACTCACAGCCTTCAAGAACTCCACGACCTCCTGGGTTGGCTTCTCTGGAGGCCAGCACCACACAGTCTGCTTGGATTCCGAGGGTGAGTTTTAAAATAATGGAAGGTTTTAATACGAAACAACAAATATTTCTCTGGTATTTGTCCGGTGCGGGCATCTTCGGGCTCACAGAGTTGTAAGCCAGGCGGTTGTTGGTTCATGTCCTTGCCCGCTTTAACAGGATTCCTTACCTGAGCAGTTCCTTTAATGTAACAAGTTGTAAATGTCTTAAAAATGACAAGCATTAGGGAATAGCTTTTGCTATATATTTTTATTTTATTTTTTTTTAAATGGGGGTGGCTTTGAACTCCCAAACCCAACCCCCCCCCCTCCAGTGTTTAGTTCTGCTTCCTGTTGGCTTAATAGCAGGCAGTGACTGACTGGAAGTTTAGCTCTTTTGACCTGGATTGGTGTGGGGGGGGCTGGATAGTGTTGAGTCAGCATCTGCATGGTCTCTCCAACCAGGGAAGGTCTACAGCTTGGGCCGAGCTGAGTACGGCCGGCTGGGCCTGGGCCAGGGTGCTGAGGAGAAGAGCGAGCCCACTCCCATCGGCGGCCTGGAGGGGGTGAAGGTGGTGGCCTGCGGGGCCTCCGTCAGCTACGCAGTCACAAAGCAGGGTAGGCGGCCGCGACGTCTCGCTGAAGATGCCCATCTAGATCGGGCTTGGTTTCTGTGGTCACTGGTAGACCATTGACTCTACTGGGCATTACACTTGTGACGAATCAGGTGGGTTTGACTCTTATCAAGTTGGCAAACTGCTGTGTTCCCTTGAACTTCTGATTGGGGGTGTCTCAAGACGCAAATAACGTTGGTAAATATGTTCTGGAATAAATTCTTGCCGTCAAGTAGGCAACTAGACTGTGTATTATAGTGTACATGATCTGTTTATCTGCCAACACTGTGTGTGTTTCTGTGCCCCCCTCCCATGAGAATGTGATGTCACCACAGTGCTGTTCTGCTTACTGCTTCCATGCTGCCAGGCGCGTGGTTCTAAAAAACAACTGCACTGGGATCTGTGATAGGTGCTCAAACACTGAATACATTTGCTGCATTCTTGTGTATTTAAAGAAACTTGTCCCAGACTTGAACCTCAAACCCCAGGTTACTTGTCTCGTTTCAGGCTTGGTGTTTGCCTGGGGCATGGGGACCAACATGCAGTTAGGCACCGGAGAGGAGGATGACGAGTGGACCCCGGTGGAGATGGCTGGGAAGCAGCTGGAGAACCGTGTAGTTTTGACAGTGTCCAGCGGGGGGCAGCACACAGTTCTGCTGGTCAAAGACAAGCAGGACAGCTGATTGGACACCATGTGGGAGGGGTTTATAAACCATTGATCTATACTGAGGTGTAGATCGATAGGATGTGGGATGGTGAGGCTTCCCGTGCTGCGCCCTGTCGCCCTAAAGAGGCCATTTAGGGAGGGGAGATGAGGGAGCTGGGTGCTGGTTGCTGTCCGAGTCTCACTCCTACTCCTATGGAGCCAAACATCGCACTGAGGCTAAGGCAGGATGTTCGGGGGGGGGATAGCAAAATTATTTTTTTAAACTAGTTTGCTCCTTTTGTTTTCTTAATTATTTTTAATGATATCCTTTAGTATGACATTCAGGGATTCTGAAGTTTTCTGTGTGCAGGAAATCGATCACCTTTTAATAGTCCTGTTTGCAGACTTTTAAAGTGATATTTGGTCAAAGCAATAAAAATCCAAAATTGAGACCAACCAAAGTGTGGCCTATTTCTAAGTGTCTCACACTTCTAGTGCATTGAGCCTGCTTGTCGCTGTCATCTAAGCCCACGTTTAGGCAGTGAAATCCTATAGTCCTACATTTTTAAACTCGCACTCAACCGAAAATAGGAGATATTTTAATGTTTGTTTATATGCATGCTGGTTTCTGTCCCTCGAAGGGGAAATTCCCGCATGCATTGTCAGGCTGCTGTATCACAGCTGCTGTTCCTGTTCGTTTGGCTGTGCTACGTTTGTGTACCAACTGGAAAGGACTCTGTGTGTTATCTGATTAATCCTAGATTTAAACCTCTGAGGCCCGATAATAGGATGGGCAGGAATTTGAGTACAAAAATATGAGCAGCTACCTGAAGAATCTTCTTGCTTCCCTAAATAATCCAGATTTTAATATTTGAAAGCATCAGCTATACTCAGATGCATGATTTATGTGCTTTAAATAGGGGTGGTATCTATGTAGGATGCAGCCTAAATGAATACATAGTCTACATCATTTTTGTTCCAAATGCAAAAAATAGATGCAACTGAGAAGAGAAATTTTGAATTTGCCAGCTATTTGTAATTTTGCAGGTGCCTGTATCACATAACAGGATTTCTTGCTTGCTTGTCAGATTTTTCGTAGGCTGAGCTAAATGTAAGTGAATGAATATAAAGTCCATTTAAGCTGGGGTAAGCAAGTAATCCTGCTTCATGATACCCGCCCGTAGTCACAGGACCTTTCGCTCTGCTTTCCTGCACACTGTGACCACTAGAGGGCATTCTGATGACATTTGTAGCCAAATGACAGGTGTTTAGATGAAATTTTGAATAATACAGTCTAAGCTTAGAAATACCAGTTTGACATTATGATTTGAAGCCTCTTGGCAGTATAGAGTGAATATGTTATGATTATGCTACTTTCCTCTCACATTATCTACTCATAATGAGATGTATATTATGTGGGCTCTAGTTTCAATGTGACATCTTGTTTTTAAGTAAGTCTTTGAAATCCTAACAGCCTCTTGCCCTACCTTCTAAAAACTCTCCTGGTGCTGTCTTTTGTTCTGTCCTTTCTCGGGTTTTTACCCCCCGCCCCCCCCCCCCATAACCTATCCCCCCCCCGCTTATCCTGGACCCGGCCATGTGG